CCGCCCCAGTCTCAAGTCTTTTGCAGACTCTAACAGGTTTTCTTCTAAGATTGCCCTGTATTTGGCTCCATCCATCTTCCCATCAACTCTGACCAGTTTCCCTGTCCCTGCTGGAGAAAAGCATCCCCACAACATGATGCTGCCACCACCATGTTTCACGGTAGGGATGGTGTTCAGGGTGATGTGCAGTGTTCGTTTTCCACCACACAGAGTTTTGCTTTTAGGCCAAAAAGTTCAATTTTGGTCTCATCTGACCAGAGCCCCTTCTTCCACATGTTTTCTGTGTCCCCCACATGGCTTCCCGCAAACTGCAAATGGGACTTTTTATGGCTTTCTTTCAACAATGGCTTTCTTCTTGCCACTCTTCCATAAAGGCCATATTTGTGGAGTGCATGTCTAATAGTTGTCCTGTGGACAGATTCTCTCACCTGAGCTGTGGATCTTTGCAGCTCCTCCAGCGTTCCCATTGGCCTCTTGGCTGCTTCTCTGATTAATGCTCTCCTTGCCCAGCCTGTCAGTTTTGGGTGGACGGCCACGTCTTGGTAGGTTTGCAGCTGTGCCGTACTCTTTCCATTTTCGGATGATGGATTGAACATTGCTCCGTGAGATGTTCAAAGCTTGGGATATTTTTTCATACCTAACCCTGCATTAAACTTGTCCAGATCTTTTTATCCCTGACCTGTCTGGTGTGTTCCTTGGCCTTCATGATGCTGTTTGTTCACTAATGTTCTCTAATGAACTTCTGAGGGCTTCACAGAACAGCTGTATTTAACCCCTTCCCTACCGCCCTATAGCAAACTACTGCTACAGGTCGGCAGGGCTGTGCAAAATCATGTATATATACGTGATTTTGCATTTCCGGGGAGGAGGCACGCGCGCCACCCTACCCGCGCTACCATTGGCAGCTGCAGATGTTGATCACCGGGTCCTGGACAGAAATTCCCCACCGGTACCCAGCGATCACAGAGCATCCCTGACAGGGGAGAAATCTGTGTGTAAACAATGCAGGTCTCTCTCCTGCCTGCAGTAACCTGCTGCTGTGTATTTCTCTGCACATAAATACACAGCAGTATGTTTCCTTAGTAAGACACACACAGTTAAACCTTTGATCACCCCAGATGTTAACCCCTTCCTGCCCAGTGTCATTAGTACAGTGTCAGTGCTTTTTATTAGCACTGATCACTGTATTAGTGTCACTGGGGATGTCAGTGGCAGTTAGTCAGTTCCCCCCCAATGTCAGAATGCCCACCGAAGTCCCGCAGTAAGTCGCTGATCGCCACCATTACTAGTATCATTTAAAAAAAAAAAAAAAAAAAAACATTCCAGTACCGCCATTTGTGGACGCTATAACTTTCACGTAAACCAATTAATTTACATATATTGGGATTTCTTTTTAGCAAAGACATGTAGAAGAATACATTTTGGCCTAAATTTATGAAGAAATTTGATTATTTTCTGGATATGTTTGATAGCAAAAAAGTCAAAATTGTCGGCCTTTTTTGTTTACAGCACAAAAGATAAAAACCGCAAAGGTGATCAAATACCACTGAAAGAAAGCTCTATTTGTGGGAAAGAAGAACATAAATTTCATTTACGTACAGCATTGCATGACTGCGCAATTGTCAGTTAAAGTAACGCAGCATCGAATTGCAAAAAATGGCCTGCTCGGGAAGGGGTAAATCCTCTGGAGGGCAAGCGGTTATACTGAGATTAAATTACACACAGGTGAACTCTATTTACTAGTTAGGCGACTCCTGAAGGCAACTGGTTCCACTAGATTTTAGCTAGGGGTATCAGAGTAAAGGGGGCTGAATACAAATGCCCGCCACACTTTTCACATATTTGTAAAAAATGTCACAGCGTGAGGAAAGTACTGCTGGTAACCGACAACCTTCAAAGCATACATCTGCACTGATAATCAGTGCAGCCTCAAAAGTGCCCAACAGTGTTGCCCGTCAGTGCTGCCAGTCAGTGCCCTTCAGTGCCACATATCAGTGCCCATCAGTGCCACCTTCAGTGCCCATCAGTGCTTCCCTTCAGTGCCCATCAGTGCTGCCCTTCAGTGCTGCCAATCTGTGCCTGTCAGTGCTGCCAGTCTGTGCCCTTCAGTGCTGCCTATTAGTGCCCTTCAGTGCCACGTCAGTGCCCATCAGTGCTATAATAGAAACAAAGAAAACATTTTTTCTTCAAAATGTTTTCTTTTTTTCATTTATAGTGCAAAAAATAAAACCCCCAGTGGTGACTAAAATACCACCAAAAGAAAGCTCTATTTGTGTGAAAAAAATGATAAAAATTTCATATGGGTACAATGTTGCATGACCGCGCAATTGCCATTCAAAGTGCGACAGCGCTGAAAGCTGAAAATTGGCCTGGACAGGAAGGGGGTATAAGGGTATAAAATTCTATATGGCTACTATACTTTGACAAGAAACACTGAGTAATGGGAATTGTGTATTACAAAAACACCACCATCCATGGTATGACAGTGATATTCACGTACCTGTAACCATTGTGACTGGCTATTCTCCATGGCAGTCCAGGCATTGCTCTTCCCTATCTTATCCAGGCGGGCGTAGTGTGGGTGCCAGGTAAACGCATCGATGCCCCAGGTCTTGTACACGCTGGATGCGGTTATTTGCTTATCGGGGATCAGGAAGGATTTCATTCCAAGTGGCTCGGAGCAACCTACCGTGTTGAAATACACTGTAACACAACGGTTTACAAAAGGGTGGGAAGAGGGTGCTTAGCATTACAAGCTCAATGCAGGCGTGACACAGAGCAAAAGCAGTAAAAACAAGTCTGGTAAAAACAAAGCTGCCTATAACAAAATAAAAGCATAGCGCTAACTGTACAATTAGAACAGCTGGAACCAAGCCTGCGTATAGAGCAGATGAAGCTATAGGGGCATGCTGGGCCACAACAACTGGCTCCTTTACTGCCAGGAGAAGATAATGCTGCTATAGTAGGTTCATTGGCTCCTGTCTAAATTGTCCCCAGTATGTGTATGTATGAATGTGAGTTAGGGACCTTAGATTGTACACCCCTTGAGGGTTAGGGACTGATGTGAATGTACAATATATATGTAAAGCGCTGTGTAAATTGACACCACCATACAAGTATCTGTAATAAATATGTCAGATGTCCAATGATGATAACGGGGTCTCCATCTCAAAACTAAAATTTCATTTTTGGGAAGCTTAAACCATTTGACAGCTTCCGATATCTATCTGGTACATGATTTCTGAGATCTCTATGCTTGTGTCCCGGAGACTGCACACCTGATGTGGTCATTATGAGAGATTCCACTCTCCCTTCTTGATTTTCTGGTTTTAAAATGATAGAAGTTGCAACCTCTAGCTGCTGGAACAGCCAATACGTCTAAGAAGTCCCGTGCTGGCTCAGCTCACTAGGCTTCAGCTATCTCTAAGGCCCCACGCCTACTGGGTGTGTACCCTCTGAACAAGAAGCACTGGTGTTTAGGTGAAGGTAGCAGGTACACTGTCCACAGGAGTACAGGGGAGGGGGGATATACATTACTGTATACACGTCATATCACTATAATGGAGTACAGGGGAGGGGGGATATACATTACTGTATACACGTCATATCACTATAATGGAGTACAGGGGAGGGGGGATATACATTACTGTATACACGTCATATCACTATAATGGAGTACAGGGGGGGGGGGATATACATTATATACATGTCATATCACTATAATGAGTACAGGGGAGGGGGGATATACATTACTGTATACACGTCATATCACTATAATGGAGTACAGGGGAGGGGGATATACATTACTGTATACATGTCATATCACTATAATGGAAGTACAGGGGAGGGGGGGGGATATACATTACTGTATACACGTCATATCACTATAATGGAGTACAGGGGAGGGGGATATACATTACTGTATACATGTCATATCACTATAATGGAGTACAGGGGAGGGGGATATACATTACTGTATACATGTCATATCACTATAATGGAGTACAGGGGAGGGGGGATATACATTACTGTATACATGTCATATCACTATAATGGAGTACAGGGGAGGGGGGATATACATTACTGTATACATGTCATATCACTATAATGGAGTACAGGGGAGGGGGGATATACATTACTGTATACACGTCATATCACTATAATGGAGTACAGGGGAGGGGGGATATACATTACTGTATACACGTCATATCACTATAATGGAGTACAGGGGAGGGGGGATATTACATTACTGTATACATGTCATATCACTATAATGGAGTACAGGGGAGGGGGATATACATTACTGTATACATGTCATATCACTATAATGGAGTACAGGGGAGGGGGGGATTATATACATTACTGTATACATGTCATATCACTGATATACATTACTGTATACATGTCATATCACTATAATGGAGTACAGGGGGAGGGGGATATACATTACTGTATACACGTCATATCACTATAATGGAGTACAGGGGAGGGGGGATATACATTACTGTATACACGTCATATCACTATAATGGAGTACAGGGGAGGGGGGATATACATTACTGTATACACGTCATATCACTATAATGGAGTCATATCTTACTGTATACACGTCATATCACTATAATGGAGTACAGGGGAGGGGGATATACATTACTGTATACATGTCATATCACTATAATGGAGTACAGGGGAGGGGGGATATACATTACTGTATACATGTCATATCACTATAATGGAGTACAGGGGAGGGGGATATACATTACTGTATACATGTCATATCACTATAATGGAGTACAGGGGAGGGGGGATATACATTACTGTATACATGTCATATCACTATAATGGAGTACAGGGGAGGGGGATATACATTACTGTATACATGTCATATCAATATAATAGTACAGGGGAGGGGGGATATACATTACTGTATACATGTCATATCACTATAATGGAGTACAGGGGAGGGGGGATTTACATTACTGTATACATGTCATATCACTATAATGGAGTACAGGGGAGGGGGGATTTACATTACTGTATACATGTCATATCACTATAATGGAGTACAGGGGAGGGGGGGATATACATTACTGTATACATGTCATATCACTATAATGGAGTACAGGGGAGGGGGGATATACATTACTGTATACATGTCATATCACTATAATGGAGTACAGGGGAGGGGGATATACATTACTGTATACATGTCATATCACTATAATGGAGTACAGGGGAGGGGGGATATACATTACTGTATACATGTCATATCAATATAATGAAGTACAGGGAAGGGGGGATATACATTACTGTATACATGTCATATCACTATAATGGAGTACAGGGAAGGGGGGGATTTACATTACTGTATACACGTCATATCACTATAATGGAGTACAGGGGAGGGGGGATATAAATTACTGTATACATGTCATATCACTATAATAGAGTACAGGGGAGGGGGATATACATTACTGTATACAGTTTTATATTTTGGACTCTTTATTCTAAAGAAAAATGTAATTTCATAAACTTTAAGGGGGCGTGGTTGGAGGTGGGGTTGAAGGCATACCCGGGCAAGGTTGGGTGGGGCAACTGGTGGTGAGTAAGGTGTGTGCCTGGCTAGTAGGTCTGGACTAGAAATGTTAAGCCCTGCCCTAAAGTTTAGCAGCACTTGGTGCACCATCCAGCCCCATTCAGCCACAGCAGCCGTCAGCCTCTCACCTGTGGACTGTGCAACAATGCCTGCTAGCCACACCTCAACACCGTAGCCACCAGGCTAAACACACAGTGTGCATGGGACCTGAAGGTTAACTGACCCTTTAAATAGGAGAAAATCATGTTAACTTACCAAGGTTTGCCAGCATTCAAAGTAGTTAGTTAGCCTAGACTTTGAGACTCGTGTCCAAAAACTGTACGAAATACAGAACATTCATAAAGTATTCAGATCACCCTCACTTTTTTCAATTTTGTTATGTTGCCGCATGATACTACAGTTGTTTTTAAATTCATTTTTTTTCCATTGGAGAATTATGGAGGCCACTGTGGTCTTGGGAACCTTCAGTGCAGCAGAATTGTTTTTGTAGCCTTCCTCAGATCTGTGCCTTGCAATAAATCTGTCTCTGAGCTCTGGAGGCAGTTCCATTGACTGCATGGTTTTTGCTCTGATACAGTATGCATTGTCAGCTATGAAGTCTTTTATAGAGGAGGTGTGTACCTTTCCAGATCATGTCCAATCAATTTAATTTACCACAGGTGAGCTCCAATCAGGGTGTAGAAACATCTCAGCAACGATCAAGAGAAATGGGAGGCCCCTGAGCTAATTTTCAAGTGTTGTAGCAAAGGGTCTGAATACTTACTTACTTGTGATATTTCATTTTTTTTCTTTTTAATAAATTCAAAAACATTTCTAAAATTCTGATTTCACTTTGTCATTATGGGGCATGGAGTGTAGATTAATGAGAAAAAATTAATTTAAACAACTGTAGTATCAGGCTGCAAACATACCAAAATTTAAAAAAGTGAATGGTGTTTGAATACTTGCTGCAAGGCGCCCCTGTACTGCAAGACCAGCCTCCACAGTCTTTTCCCCAGAACTTCAGCAGGACTAGGTCTTCTGGCATCATCAAGACTGATGCAGGGCCTAGAGCCCTGCATTGGGCATGAAGACGCAGGGTACGTTCATTTCCGGTACCCCCTGCACAAATAGGAAGTTAAGTCTTGCAGAGTGGGCACAGCCCCACTGCAAATGAGGACTTTTAGTTTTCTTGGAGTTCAGCTGGAATTAGCAGTCGAGGTAAACAAGTAGCTGATTCTTCAAAATCTTTGGTAGTTAAATAAGAATTACAGTATGAATACTGCACTGTACATCTAATGCTAAAAATGTACGGAAAAGAAACTCTAGGGAAAGGCCGCTGTATATAAACGGCCGGACAGTGGCAGTCCAGGGGCGGGTTGCCGTTCATAAACGGCGCCCGCCATTTTAGACTGTGTGCGCTCCCTGGGAGCGCGCAGCACCACGATCCGGTGCCCGCTGTGTCCTCTGGACATTGGCCAATCAGTGATCACATGCAGAGTAGTAAGCAAGATGTCACTTCTGACATCATTGCTTACTATGTGTGAAATCTGTGAATGATCACAGAGGTCACATGGTACAGGGCTATTCACAGCAGCCTTGTAACATGTGACAAGCTGTGACCAATTACAGCTCAGACAGTATTTCTCAATGGCTGCAAGAATGCAGCCAGAGAGAAGTAGAAATGATTGCTTTTACAGGCTTTATGGGTGTAAAAGCAATCAGTGTAAAAAAAATCTTTGTCACCATGGTGACACTTGTACTGCTAGGGTGACAGTATGTAGTAAAAAAAAAAAAAACAAAAAATAATAATATAAAAAAAAATAAAGCCTTTATGGGTGTAAAAGCAATCAGTGTAAAAAAAATAAAATAAAATAAATAATCACCTCCCACAAGTAGTACAGTGTCACCATGGCGACACTGTACTGCTAGGGTGAGAGTATGTAGGAAAAAAAAAAATATATATATATAAAAATAAAAAAAAATGTAAATTTTTTTTAAAAAATTATATTTTTTGGTTGTAAACGAATTTGGGTTATTTTTTTTTTTACTAAAAAGATAACTGAATAATTTTTGGCCAAGATTTATGATGAAATATTATTTGCAAAAT